GGCGTCTCTCGGAAGACCTTAGATCGACCTATGGATTGCCCTGATTTCTGGTAAGTTATTACGTTTTTTTTATACCCTCATCTGTAGCACTATAATTCATAAAATGTATCACAGGTATGATCTGATGTTGGAGTGTTGGCGATATGTAGCGCGTGATCGCCCTACATTCCGACAAATTGTTGAACATCTCATACCGCTAGCTAGTGAGCAGTTCCGAGAGGTAATATTCTTTTTCCCATATTTGTTTCGTTTTGTTTTTTTTCTTTACCTTGATATGTTGTTCAGCATCATTATCATGTATCTTTTAGGCTTCTTGGATCTATAATCATCCAACCACTGAATATCCGTCAGACACTGAACCTAATTATGTACCAGAAGGTCATGGAATACGTCCATTAGCGACAACTGAACCTGTTGATGAGGTGGGCATTATAAATGTGAGGCTTTGCTTTTTTTATTTAAATATTTGTATATCTATTTTCTCTTCGGGCCTGTACACGTACACGAAAGTGGTGCGGCCGGCGAGAAAAAGGCATCACGGTTACGGCGTGATTTGAAAGATTGGAAATTTGCTATTCTTCAACGCTTCTGGCAGTTGAATTTTATTAGCTGAAATTGCTTATTGACTGACTATGAATCAAAAGAATTGTCAGGCATTAATTGAAAAATGTTACAACAGAGCAGCCGCAGCCAAAGTCAATCACGACACGGTCGAAAATGATTTTTTGAAAAGTGAATTGCGTACAAATGTAGTAAAGTAGAGAAGTATGAAAACAAATGAGCAAAGGGAGAAGGAAGGATCTTTAGGAACCAAATTTCATATTATTTTCAATGACATTCTAAGTTATTTTCTGAGCGGCAGACGAAGATCGGCATAGATTACTGGTTGACGTTTTGGCATCTCCGTCTTCAGAGCCTGGAAAGTAAAGTACATGCAAGCTAATCTTCCAAATTTCCATTCTTGCCTAAAAAGATGTCATCAACAAAGACATCTTTAGGCAAGAGTGGAAGTTTGGAAGATTAGCTTGTAAAATAAAGCATTTTGTAGGCTAGAGGCAGTAAAAGAAAAGCGGATTAGTTGGCGCCCACCTTGATTTCTTTCAGAAAGAATACAACTTGCTATGTAAAAGCTATGTAATCACATGTATGTAAAAGGAATTTGCGGATAACTTGATTTTCAAACGGCCACAT